CGGCCGGACCCACAGCTCAGCCTCCGGTCCCCGGTGCGGCCGCCTGGGGCCCCTAGGGCCCGATCTCCCGGCGTCAGGAGAACGGGGCTGCTCCGCGCCCGCCGAGCCGGGCCCCAGGACTCCGGGCTGCCCGAGCGGGGCGGGCTGGGGACGACAGGTTCCGAGGTGGAGGGCAGGGCAGAATCGCGGCCGGTCCCAGGGAGGTAGCGAAGCTCAAAAGTGACTTTAACCCCCAGACAGCCGCTCCCGGAGACCCCTCGCGGCTCCCAGCACTCGTCGTTCATTCTGCTGTAACTTCCGCTGTCTAACCTTCTGCAGTAGGTTCTCTTTCAGCTGTGTCTTCCTCGTTGGTGACCTTCTGCATCCATCCTATTCTCAGGATCTTTCTAGAACAACTCCTCTCGAACGCCAAGATCCTTCTCTTCGAATCTTTCATCATCACCCATGTCTCACATCCGTACAACATGCTGCTAAATACACACGTTTTCAAGATGCTCGGCTTCGTTCCTAAGCTATCGCTTTACTTTTCCAGCTCTTATCCATCGCCTTCAAACTCATTCTTGCTTTCGCTATTCTAGTCGCTATTTCTTTCTTACAGCCTAGATCATACGATATTTTGCTCCCCAGATACGTGAACGTCTCTAGTTTGATCCCATCTACACTGATCTTCCTTCCTATTTCCTTATCTCCAAATACCATTGTCTTTGTTTTATCGATATTCATAATCAGTCCATACCGCTTCCCTTCCTCGTTTAGCACCTGCAGCTTTCTCGTTAGCTTCTCTTCATCTTCCTCGATGATAATGATATCATCCGCGAACCTCAAGTTGTTAATTCTCATCCCATGCACCGATATCCCTCCTACCTCTTCCTTGATCTTGTCCATCTCTCTCTCTAGGTGCGTGACAAAGGTACTCAGCAATATCAGCTCTCCTTGTCTCGTACCTCTAGTCGTTCTAAACCAACTTCCCAACTCTCTGCATGTTCTCACCGCTGCCTCCGCATGAGCGTGGATACCCTTCAACAACTGTATCGGTCTGCTATCCTCTCCATACCACTGTAGCACCGCCCAAGTCACTTTCAGAACTAGACTGTCAAAGGCCTTCTGAAAATCGACAAAGCAATTGTAGATGTTCTTGTTCTTTTGCTGAGCTTTCTCTGCTCTCAATCTTAGTGCCAATATCTGCTGTATGGTACTTCTAGCTTCCCTGAATCCCGCTTGCTCATCCGCTAGATGTTCTTCTATCTGCAATCTCAGTCTCTCCGTCAGTATCACCATCAGTACCTTGCCTAAATGACTCGTTCAGGCAATCGTTCTGTAGTTCTTGCACTTCAAAGTGCTGCCTTTCTTGAGATACTCGGGTCCGACTGTGCTTTGTTCAGATTGGTACAATATCTCGTCCATTGCTGCACAACTGCCTCCTTGTTCATGAGCACCTTATCATTCTCGTCTTTGATCGCCATCTGCTCCGGCTGCCACTTCCTATTAATATTCCTCATCAGCTTATACACCTCCTTGATCTTACACTTGCTGCAATACCTCTCTGTATCTTCGCACGCTCCTCTAACCACTTCCCTTAGCCATTCTGGCCGCTTTCCTTACCTCGTTGTATGTCACTTTATATTGCTGTTCTGCCCGCTCGGAGACATCCCTTCTGATCTTCAGTGCTCTCTTCTCTTGGACCAACTTCAGTGTCTCTTGTGTAATCCACTTCTTATTGATCTTCTCTTCTTCCAGAACCATCTGCTCAATTGCCTCTTCTATTGCCATGGCTATCCCTTCGACTCTCTTATCTAGGTCTTTCTCCGTGCCCGCATTCCTGATCTTCTCTTCAAGCACTGTTCAAACTCTGTACGCGTTCCCTATTTCTTCCTTGCCTGGCTTCGCCACGTTTCTTCGTTTCTTAAATTGTGTCTTGTACTTTCTCTTAAGTTTCATCTTGATGTTTGCAGTCACTAGACTGTGGCCTGAGTCCATATCTGCTCCTTGGAAAGTTTGGCATTGCTGTACTGATGTTACCCATCTTCTTCTTATCAAGCGCATATCTATCCTATTCCTGGACTTCCCGTCGTAAGAGTGCCATGTCCACTTCCTACAGTCCTTTTGTTGGAATCTCATGTTGCAGATCACCATCTCATGCTCCATGGCAAACTCTAGGGCTATGTCTAGACTGGCATGATTTTCCGCAAATGCTTTTAACGGAAAAGTTTTTCCATTAAAAGCATTTGTGGAAAAGAGCGTCTAGATTGGCACGGATGCTTTTCCACAAAAGCACTTTTTGTGGAAAAGCGTCCATGCCAATCTAGACGCGGTTTTGCACAAGAAAGCCCCAATCGCCATTTTCGCCATTGGGGCTTTTTTGAGCAAAACAATACCGCGTTGTCTACACTGGCCCTCTTGCGCAAAAGCATTTGCGCAAGAGGGCTTTTGCCCGAATGGAGCAGCATAGCATTTCCGCAAGAACACTGACAATCTTACATGAGATCGTCCGTGTTCTTGCGGAAATTCAAGCGGCCAGTGTAGACAGCTGGCAAGTTTTTCCGCAAAAGCACCTGCTTTTGCAGAAAAACTTGCCAGTCTAGACGCAGCCTAGTAGTTTCTCGCCTTGTTCATTTCTTTCTCCGAATCCAAACCTTCCCATGACTATCTCCCAACCTCCGTTATCTGTTCCAACCTTTGCGTTAGACCGCTATCATATCCTATCATATCCCCCCTTAGCCTCCTCTTTTCTAAGATGAAAAGTCCCAGACTCTTTAATCTCTCTTCATATGGGACCCGTTCCAAACCCCTCAGCATTTTTATTGCCCTTTTCTGAACCTTTTCCAATGCCAAGAGGTCTTTTTTTGAGATGAGGCGACCACATCTGTATGCAGTATTCAAGATGTGGGTGGCATCATTGTTTTATAGAGAGGCAATAAGATATTCTCTGTCTTACTCTCCCGTTTGTAATGATTCCTAACATTCTGTTTGCTTTTTTGACTGCCACTGCACACTGAGTCGATGTTTTCAAAGAGCTAGCCACAGTGACACCAAGATCTCCCTCTTGAGTAGTTGTAGCTAAATTAGTCCCCATCATATTGTATATACAGTTGGGATTATTTTTTCCAATGTGCGTTACTTTACATTGATCACCATTAAATTTCATTTGCCATTTTGATGTCCAGTCACTTAGTTTGGTGAGATCTTCTTGAAGTTCTTCTCAGTCTGCTTTGGTCTTAACTATCTTGAGCAGTTTGGGATCATCTGCAAATTTTGCCACTGCATTGTTTACCCCTTTCTCTAGATCATTTATACACAGGTTGAATAGGATGGGTCTCAGGGCAGACCCTTGGGAGACCCCACTAGTTACCTTTCTCCACTCTGAAAACTGACCATTTATTCCTACCCTTTGTTTCCTGTCTTTTAACCAGTTATCAATCCATGAAAGGATCTTCCCTCTTATCCCATGACAACTTACTTGACTTAAGAGCCTTTGGTGAGGGACCTTGTCAAAAGCTTTCTGGAAATCTAAGTATACTCTATCCACTGGATTCCCCTTGTCCACAAACCATGGTGACTTTCCACCAACAAATTATGTTCATCCATATGTCTGACAACTTTATTCTTTACTATAGTTTCAACTAATTTGCCCGGAACAGACATTAGACTTACCGGCCTGTAATTGCAGGGATCACCTCTAGAGGCCTTTTTAAATATTGGCATCACCTTAGCTATCTCCCAATCATTAGGCACATAAGCTAACATTGAAATATTGTAGTGGTGCTGTGCAGTGTAACATTCAGTAGGATGTGCAATGAGAGGGAATTTATGGTGCTGTGAAGTATAGTGTTCGGTGGGAGGGAGTTAATGGTGCTGTGCAGTGTAATATACACTGTGATGTGCAGTGTAGCATGCAGTGGGCTGTGGAGTGAGAGGAAGTTAATGGTGCCAAGCAGTGTAGCACGCAGTCAGGTGTGCAATGAGAGGGAGTTAATGGTGCCGTGCAGTGTAGCATGCAGTCAGGTGTGCAGGGACAGGGAGTTAATGGTGCCATGCAGTGTAGTATGCAGTGAGGTGTGCAGTGGGGGGGGGGTTAATGGTGCCGTGCAGTGTAGCGTGCAGTGAGGTGTGCAAGGACAGGGAGTTAATGGTGCCATGCAGTGTAGTATGCAGTGAGGAGTGCAGTGAGGTGTGCCGTTGGGGGGGAGTTAATGGTGCCGTGCAGTGTAGCATGCAGTCAGGTGTGCAGGGACAGGGAGTTAATGGTGCCATGCAGTGTAGTATGCAGTGAGGTGTGCAGTGGGGGGGGAGTTAATGGTGCCGTGCAGTGTAGCATGCAGTCAGGTGTGCAGGGACAGGGAGTTAATGGTGCCATGCAGTGTAGTATGCAGTGAGGTGTGCAGTGGGGGGGGGGTTAATGGTGCCGTGCAGTGTAGCGTGCAGTGAGGTGTGCAAGGACAGGGAGTTAATGGTGCCATGCAGTGTAGTATGCAGTGAGGTGTGCAGTGGGGGGGGAGTTAATGGTGCCGTGCAGTGTAGCATGCTGCAGGGGGTGGGGTGGGGGGGAGTTAATGGTGCCATGCAGTGTAGTATGCAGTGAGGTGTGCAGTGAGGTGTGCAGTGGGGGGGGAGTTAATGGTGCCGTGCAGTGTAGCATGCAGCGGGGGGTGCAGTGGGGGGGAGTTAATGGTGCCGTGCAGTGTAGGAGCAGCAGTAGGTGTGCTGCAGGGG